AATAATTTTGTATAATAAGATTGAACTCGATATACAGCTAATGAATCTTTAAATGATGGTTCATTTTCATTCATTGATAAACCTTTAGAAAATAGGAAAACAACAAGAAGAAGAGATAATAATACGTCATCCTTTTCAATAATATCATTGAAAGTAGCACTCAAATTTACAACCATTTCATATATATAATCTGATTGATTACATAACATATACATTTGACGTTTTTCTTCTGCTTCTTCATGCTCTCTATTCGAAGAACAATCATTTATCTGTTCAGCTATGTAACATGTTGAGACACAAAAGAGAAGAATAAGATTATATTTAATCATAATAAAACGATCATCAGCATTTAGTTTTTCGAATTTCTCAATTAGACGACAAAATTTAATAATACGAAGAGCAATTTCATTGTTAAATTGTAAACAACAGATTAATTCAGAACTACGATCGAATGGATCATCAAAATTAGTAAATTCTTCACATTCATTGACGATAGATAAAAATGATGATTGAATATTGTTAATAGCTTCTAAATCTTCAACAGTTAATGATTCTAACAGTATGTTTTCTTCTATTTGATTTGAATCAATGCTCTGACGAACAATAATATTATCATTATTTTGATTCATATCCATGAATAGCTAAAATAGAATATCAAATTATATTGAGAAGTTATTGAAGAGATCAAAGAAAAAAATTTCGCATTCGATATTGAAAGAACTTACACGATCAATTTCATCAAATGTTAGTAAAACAGATTCGGAATTAGGTTTGGAATTTGATGTAGGTGATGAATTTGTCAATTCTATTGTTGATGAGCATTTTGATGAAATATTTCGATTTCTTCCAGAATCTTTTCTTTGTTGTATTTGTTCTTGATTTAAAAGTAAATCTCTTCTCATTCCCATAGCAAAACATCGTTCTAGTCGACATCGAAAACATTTACGACTTATCAAATAATCAATTACACATTGACCATGATCCGTTAAACATTTGAATCTTTTCTAAAAAAAAAATAATTCAAATCACTCAACTCGATCAATTCGACTATCCGTATTTTGAAGGTATACGGTTGTATATGTGCTGTAACCTCACTATTTACGGG